TGAGTCACATTTGGTAACATCACCAGGAACCATTTTGATACTGATACTATTGATAATTAATATATTTTTTTTTTTTTGATTAGATCTTTGTTAATATTATGAAATAGTTTTTTTCTAATTAATTAATTTCATTATTTCACAAAAACTTTTTAGTCAATTAAATCAGGCATATAAATTGTTTACTGTCAGGTTTTAAGAAGGACAGGTTGAATTATATACATTAGCACCTTGAGAATCCTTATAAAAAATGTTTAACTTTATAACCTATTTCCATATTTGCATATGTTTTGTTTGTTATAGATGGCTTATCCTTAGTGTCCTAAAATGCGTTGTAAGGAAGAACTGCGTTGAAGTATTCTTATATAAATGTTATACATAAATAGTTGACAAATAGTTAATTAATAACGTATGTGATTCGCTTTATTAATTATTTCTTTCTTAACATAATGCTTAATTATTATGAACGCAAAAAATATATTAATTAAAGCTCGGAGATTTTAATGCAAAATATGTCACAGATAAACATTTCATGTGTAACAATTTTTATTTAATTAATCGAATTAACAAATAGATTCTGTATAAAATATAATATATGAAACGTAATAATTACTGAATATTTCGAAATGTTAATCCCGAGTTATTAATAGTTTTCTGTATAACATTAACTTGTCTTTCAAATATTTAAGTAGATTCCAAACGCTGGAAGCGTTGTTGCTATTAATTCCTATGGGCATGATAATACTCGACTGATGTAGACTCAGCTTAATGAAGTACATATTATATAAAATTTATATTACTTAAATATTAATTCATTAAATATGTTCTTACAACCTTATTCTAATAATAAAATGATTCAATTTAATATGAACCTCAACAGATATGTAACAGTTATTTAGGAAATTTATGCATTAATAATTCTTAATTAACTTTATACGAGTAAATTGCTGACTTATTGGAATATATACAGAGCTGTGCAAAATCAATTAAATTACAAATTAAATTACAATTACAGAGTAATTATAATTGATAATTGAATTTCCAGATTATATGTGTAATTTAATTGAAAACCTCAATTACGAATTACAGTATAATCTTAATTTGTAATTTAGTTTCTGAATTACAGTCATAATTGAAATTGAAAAACCAAATTTCAAATTACGTGTAATTTGCAAAAATAATCTAGAGAAGAAGAAGCATTAAAACTTTTGAAAGATGATAAACGAATCGAAACTATGGTTGGATTTTGGGTTGTAAGTGGCCCGCATTTTGTTTACGCCTTCATTCATAGTATTTTGTTGGGTTGCTTGTTTTTGTTTTTTACATTTGGTGTGTAGAAGTGTTCCATTAGAACTTCAAAGCAGATCAAGAGGCAGAAAAATTTTTTCTTTTGTACGCAAATCGAAATCTGAATATGTTGCATTGTTGCTTTTTTTCATGAAGTTGTCAATTTAATATTGCTGTTTTTTTTTTGTATTTCTGTCTTGTGCAGTGATCGAAAATATGTGTTTAGAAATGTGTATACTTGTTTCATTTGTTCGGTTGCGTGTGTACTTTTCTATGCTTTTGCTCTATGATATTTGTTTGTTTTGCTTGTATGTTTTTTTGTTTTGGATTGTAGTTTTTTTTTATGAAATTTAGGAAGGTGTCTATTTCGCATGTTTTTATTATTTCTTTTGTTTTAAGCGCTGATATGCATGTGTGTCAGAATGTGTATACATTTTGTTGTTTTTTTTTGTTTAATTGATTGAACATTTGAGTTGCGCGTAAATTTTTTAAAGCAAATTTGAAAAGATCGTTGTTTTTGTGCATCAAATAAATATATGCAAATTTGTAAGCAGTATATGTATGTGTGTATAATGTGTATGCAAATAATATAATTTTATATGTAATGAGATTATGCCTACATTTATGTTTTAAGAATTATTTTTATTGCTCAATACGATTTAAAAATTATAATAACAACAATGAGTAGTAATATGGTAATATCTAGTTTAAGAATAAAATTTTTGGACAAAGTCTTATGCTGGATGTATATTTGGTTTTGTATGTGCAATAATTTTTTATTGAATATTTATTAAATGGTTAATTGCGTACAATGTTTAATTTTTCCCTGTTATATACGTATATGTGTATTTTTATATTTCTGAATATAATCAATAATTTTAATAACTAATTTTTATTAATATCGTCTAGTGATAATATGCATGTATATATAAAATTTTTAAAATTATATATTTCAATATTTTGTAGCAATGTGATAACAATACCAAATATACATATTTTAAAAATTTGAATTTCAATTTAGTTTGAATTTATTTGTTACAAATATTTGAGAAAAAAATTATCATGGAAAGCTGAGTAATGAGCATGCATTTAAGGATGGTTTTGCCCAATTTTATTTTTTTGTTTTTTGTTTTAAGCGAATGTGTAAACATTTTGTTGTTTCTTTTTTGGTTTGACGATTCTACATTTGCTTATGCGAAGCGTGTGCATTTTTTTTATCAAATTTGGCAAGATCGTTGTTTTTATGCAGTATATGTATATCAATTTGTGTGCAAATAATATAATTTGTTTTGCTCATAAGGTTTGCGTACATTTGTTTTTGTAAGCGATAATATGCATTTTATTATATTTACTTGATTGTACAGTTGAGTTAAAATAAAGAAAAGGAAAAATTTAGCTTGTGCTAAATTATGCAACTGCAATTTTTAATACATGTTTCAATTTTCCCACAATTAAATTATCTCATCATTAACTTAAATTTTAATTTAATAAATATATACATTTAATAAATAAGCGTTGTTGTTGGCATATACATATGTATGTATTCTTAAATATGATATACAAAATTAAAGATATTCCATAAATAAATTTTTCTAATAATTCATTTAAAAATACGCAAACTGAAAGTATAAGATATAAAACAATATATAATTAAATTTCATATCTTTTTTATATACATTATTTAAATAAATTTTTCAATAAAGATTTTCTTGAACTAATTTACAAACACTTTTAATCTGTCTTAAATTATAAAACCAAAGCGCGTAAGTTAAATTTTTTCTTTTCTTTATTCTTCATCAACTAGACAATCAACAAAACGTATCAATATGCACATTATCGCTTAAAAAAACAAATGTAGGCATAAAGATAAACTTGTACTTATATTTGCATACACGTTGTACACACATATACTGCTTACAAAAACAACGATCTTCCCAAATTTGCTTAGAAAAATTCAGGCGGTACGCATAAGCAAATGTGAAATCAGTCAAACCAAAAAAAAGAAGAAAAGTACACACATTCGCTTAAAACAAAAAACAAAAAAATAAAACTGGGCAAAACCCTTAAATGCACGCTTATTACTACTGATTTTTTTCTCAAAATATTTGTACCAAGTGCATTCATATTAAATTGAAATATAAATTTTTAAAGTATATTTGGTATTGTTATCACAATGCTACAAAATATTAAAATATATAATTTTAAAAATTTTATATATACATACATACATATTATCACTAGACGATATTAAAAAAAATTAGTTATTAAAATTATTGATTATATTCAGAAATATAAAAATACACATATACATATATAACAGTAATAAAAAATCAATAAAAAATGATTGCACATACAAAACCAAATATACATCCAGCATAAGACTTTGTCCAAAAATTTTATTCTTAAACTACATATTTCTACTCATTTTTGTTATTATAATTTCTAAATCGTATTTAGCAATAAAAATAATTCTTAAAACATAAATGTAGGCATAATCTCATTACAGATAAAATTATATTATTTGCATACACATTGTACACACATACATATACTGCTTACAAATTTGCATATATTTATTTGATGCACAAAAACAACGATCTTTTCAAATTTGCTTTAAAAAATTTACGCGCAACTCATAGTCAAATGTTCAATCAATTAAACAAAAAAAAACAACAAAATGTATACACATTCTGACACACATGCATATCAGCGCTTAAAACAAAAAAAAAATCATGCGAAGTAGACACCTTCCTAAATTTCATAAAAAAAACTACAATCCAAAACAAAAAAAAACATACAAGTAAAACAAACAAATATTATAGAGCAAATGCATAGAAAAGTACACACGCAACCGAACAAATGAAACAAGTATACACATTTCTAAATACATATTTTCGATCACTGCACAAGACAGAAATACAAAAAAAAAACAGCAATATTAAATTGACAACTTCATGAAAAAAAGCAACAATGCAACATATTCAGATTTCGATTTGCGTACAAAAGAAAAAATTTTTCTGCCTCTTGATCTGCTTTGAAGTTCTAATGGAACACTTCTACACACCAAATGTAAAAAACAAAAACAAGCAACCCAACAAAATACTATGAATGAAGGCGCAAATAAAATGCGGGCCACTTACAACCCAAAATCCAACCATAGTTTCGATTCGTTTATCATCTTTCAAAAGTTTCAATGCTTCTTCTTCTCTAGATTATTTTTGCAAATTACACGTAATTTGAAATTTGGTTTTTCAATTTCAATTATGACTGTAATTCAGAAACTAAATTACAAATTAAGATTATACTGTAATTCGTAATTGAGGTTTTCAATTAAATTACACATATAATCTGGAAATTCAATTATCAATTATAATTACTCAGTAATTTATAATTGAGTGTAATCTAATTACAAATGTAATCATTATTGCACAGCTCTGAATATATATGTATATCATTATGCAGTTACTGTAGTTTAACTTTTGACATATTAATTTATTTAATCTAATATTATACATTTATATAATACAGTTACAAACTTATGGCAATATATTATATTTATTTTAGCGTTATACATATTTATTAGTCGTTTCTATTCTGTACATAACGTACAAATTTGTTATTTTTTAACAAAAAAAAATTTAAATCAGGATATATACTTACATTACTTACTTATAATTAAAAATCGTTTTTAATACTTGACATCTAATTTCACTTACCTGGATTCGATGCGTTAATGTGGAATTCACAAATGTTTTTTGTGCCGAGCGCGAAGTCGTAAGAGTCCGAGTCGGTAAATAATATGTCAACATCTAACTCGAAACCACGATTTGGTATGCCTTGTTGCAGCGGTGCTGAAAAAGGACTTGAATGAAAAGCTACCAGCATTTCCGGTCCGCTGAAATGTGAAATGAGAAATACAGGACATTTTTAATTGCTGATTTCAATTTAAATAAAACAGAGTCAAGAAGTCACAGTCAGTTGTGAAAACTAGTGTAACTAAGCAAAGAAATTAAATGGCAAGATTGTTAAAATGGCAATGTAAGAAACTTTAAATTAGAACAGAAATTTTTTTTTATTGTACGTAAAATGTAAAAAAATTTAACTGTATAAACGATACGGAAAAATGCTGATTGCAGCAATGTCAACCCAATCAGCAAACAATTTCAATTGTAAAGTTGAAGTAGAGAGCACAACAAAGTTATTTCGATTTAACAGCTTTTAATTAATTTCAAAGTTCCAGCACTATTTCAGCTACGGCTAGTGGGTCTGAGAGACGTGCAAAACGAAGTCAAAGGTGACTGCAGTGTTCAACATTTTTATACACACATATACCTTATACATTCGTAACTGTTTTTACTTTCCTCTCTTTCTTAATATATACATTTGAGGCATAAGTAAACAAAAACAAAGTACAACAAGAAGCCATGAAGTCTCTGCAGAGAAAGCGAAACCCTTAAGGCAATTATGAGGAACACTTTGGGAGGACTAATAGTGTGGTGTAGCTTGTTGGAATAAGCAATAACTCAAAAACATAGGTATGTATGGTATGTGGTTATATATATGTATATGCAAAAAAAAAAACAAAAAAAGTTCAAGAAAATAAGAAAACTCTCCCAACAGCTGCTGTTCCGCTTGCATTTCGTTGCTATTTTTTAGTTTATTTTTGGTTTTGTTAATAATTTTTGTTTTTTTGGTGTTACGTCGACATACCAAGAAAAATATTAGAGAAGAAATAACCAAAATAAATTCAAACAAAAGCATGAAAAGCAAATAAGTTTTCCGTTTGTTTTCCATTTCGCAAAAAGTGCCTAGCATCGCGCCACCATTTTTGTTTGTAATTCGAGTTTGTTACTTATTCGTACTTTTCGGCATAAACAAACAACAGAATTACCAACAACAACTACAAAAAGGAGTGAAAAGTGCAAAAGAATAAGACACCAAACAAAAAATTAGGTAAAACAAATAAACCAACAAACGAGCAGATTTGTTATTTCTTTTGTATTGTAATACGCCCATGTTCATGCCTAAAGCTTTGACACCAAGGCGTATGAGTGACTAATATTTGCTTTTGTTGTTCATATTAGTTAAGCTTCTGTTGTTTAACTTCTACTACTTTTGGTACTATCTTTTCTTATACTGCTATTACTACTACTACTACTACTACTACTACTACTGCTACTACTACTACTACTACTACTGCTACTTCAATTTTTTTACTTGCCCAATATACAAAAGCCTTAAAGCTGTTTTTCATTGATAGTGTCATATGTTTCGTAATAGTTTTTCCTTTTCCTAATTTTTTTTAATTTGTGTTTATTTTTTTTTTATATCGTCCCATAGTTTATTGTTGTGTGGAAAATTAGGAGTGATTAAGTACGCTTAAGAAAATACAACCAGAAAAATGAACGAAAATTTGTGCCGCCTAATTCATTTGTAACCATAAGAACCAAGCAAAAATGATTTTTTTTTTGTTATTGTTTTTTAATCTCTTAACTTTTGTTAAAGATAACAAACGACTTTATAAAAGTTTTCAGCTTCAGTAAGTTGCAATCAAGTTGTTGTTGTTGTTGTGCATTATATGCTCTGACAAAAGGACAAAAGACGTGTCATATTTCTGCTTTAGTTGCCCGAGGTTATTTGTTAAATTAAAAAGATTTAATTAATAGTCGCCAAGAACCAATTTGGTATTTAACAGATATAAGTATATTTTAATAAAAGAAGCAAAAAATTATAGTTGAGTAAAATATAGTAATGTAAAATGCAATTTTTTAATATATAAAATTTCTTACAGATAATAAGTATATTCTAATAAAAGAAGCAAAAAATTATAGTTGAATAGAATATAGTAATGCATATAGTTTTTAATATCTGAAATTTCTCTACTGTGCAATAATACAGTTTTTTAAAGAAATTAGCGGCATAAGAAATTTCTATTTTTGTTTCTATAACTTGAAACAATGGAACACAAATTCTTATTTTCAATCATTTATAGTTTTGTAATGTTAGAATTTATTTTTTTTGTTGGATTTTTAATTTCTTTTTATAATATATTAGGTTCTGTACATAAGAAATAATATATAAATCATGCAACAAATAATGCCTCTACAAAGAGAATAGTATTTAAATTTAATAATTAAAAATAAAAAATATAATTAATTAATTCAATTGTTCCATAGCTGGTTTATGATTTCGTTCTTCGAGTAATCCTGACTAGGCTTAAAACAGCGGTAAATGCCCTAAATATACTTCCTGACGAACCATTCGGGTTTAAGGATAATTTCTCCCGGAACTACAAGTAGTCAGAGCTGCGTAGCTGATTCAAACCACTCTAAGTAAACCAGATGATTATATTTGTAATAGCCAAAGCCTTTGACAAGGTCTGGCATGATGGCCTAATAGTCAAATTGGCCCGTTTTTGGTCCCTTGTGGTTTGACTAAAATCATTGGTAGCTTAGTAGCAGGTGTACCTCAAGGGTCGCCTTTGTCTCCCACATTGTTTAATGTATATACGGCAGACATCCCCACCTTAAGTCCCACGTCAATAGTCCAAGGCTATATTTATAACTCGAAAAAGAAGACAGTATCCTCCAAGAGTGAGCGTTTGTTACACGAAGATACGGTGGGAGGTTAGCATAAAATATCTGGGGGTCACTTTTGACAAATGGTTCAATTGGCTTAAACATTTGAAATACAAACGGAATAGCTGCTCCAAGATTCTACATTTATTAAAGCCGCTATTTAATAATTATCAGTTCAACTTTAAAAACAGAAAGTTACTTTATACGCAAGTAATTAGACCAGCACTACTGTACGGATGTGTTACATATAGCAAAGCCTCAAATACTACCTTAAAGCAATTACAAATAGCTCAAAACCTGGCTTTAAGAACACTGTTTAAGATTCCATGGTATATTAGATCAGCAGACATACATAGAGATCTTAGGATTGACTCAGTGAAAAAATATATCAGAGACAGAACTGTAAAATTATTCACTAAAGTTGATACGCTACTTAACCCCGCCCTAACAATCCTCAAGTCCACTTCTGGAATCTCAGGAAGATATGCTGATTTAAGGTCCGTCATCAACTAAAAGACAAATAAATGATATGACTTCTTAGCTTAGTTAAAGCCTAGTGTGGGGTAGTGATAAGGCCCCCAGCCATTATAGAGTAAAAGTGCGTAATAGCATTAACTCAAGAACAAGAAGAAGAAGAAGAAGATTGCGTTCTAATATAAACACAACAATTAAATTTGTTAATACAACTTTTACAGCAAAATAACAAAACTACATAAAAATGTGCGAACATAAAAACTCAAGTACGGCTTTGGTTCAGTTGGTTCAGGTGCACTGACTCTGAGCTTCAGTTTTAGCAGAGCACGAGTTCGATTTCTGCTACTTGCAGTCTCAAAAAGTTATTTACAAATAATTAAATACAATAATTATTTTCAAGAGCACTGATGATGGGTAATCGGCTATACTCGAAATAGTTGTATTGTAAGACAAAAATTAAAATAATTAAACTAATATAAAAAGAATTTTTGTTGTAGTATATCACTACTGTTCGAAAAAACCTCTTTATAAATTAAATTAAGGACTTTTCTGTTGATTTGATTTGTTGAAAAATTCAATACAACTTTTAAAAGTTTTATTCGATTTTTATGTTGTCATTCAAAATACTTATATTAAAACAGTCAACACCATACAAAGACAAATTTTTTTTGATATTTCAGAACTTTGAGTAATAGAAATTTGAAAAATACGCCAAAAAATTGTTTTTGTTTCAACATTTTTGATTATAGCAGCTTAACTAATTAAGTCATATACCCTAGAGTAATATACCTTTAAATATTTGTACTAGTTTTAGGTTTTATTTGATATATGATCTTATACGTTTTTACTTAAAAAAAAAATTTTAAGGGTGCAAGTAGAAAACCGTAAATAACAGTTTTTCACAAATAATGGAAAAATGGCATGCAATAAAAATAAACATTATAATTTTATGGAAGATATTGATCTCGTCTTTGAAGAAAAAACGTTATAATCATTTGTAATTCAATAGTGTTTTTAGAATTAAGTTATTTCAAAAATCTGAAATTATTTCAGTCGTGTTTTTTTATGGTTTCCTTTGATTAGAACATATATTCAGACAATTTTATAAAAAGTTGATATTATCTTTTATTTTAAATTTTTAATGAAAAAGTGTTTGTAGTTTGTTCCATAAAATCGCATAAATTATTTACGATTAAATTTTATCTTTTAGTTTAACTAAAACGTGTCTGTTATTTTTAATTTTAAAAAGCACATAAATTATCTACGATGTCTATATATCGTATATATACTTCTAAAGGTGTACTTAAAATTGGGAAAGCATTCTAAGAAGAAATAAGCATTCTAAGAAATAAAAAAAAATACTATATAGAATATGCAATGAAAAAAGATCCCGAAAAAATGAGATTATGTAACTATATTCCTAACAGAGAAATTAAAAAGTTGAATTGACATCAAGAAAAAAATTTTCTAAATATAGTTCACGTAATAAAGCAAATATTTTAAAATATCAGCTGAAAACTATTTTGTTAGTATTACAATTTAATTGCAGTTAGACACAAAAGCGAATTATGTTTTATACTAGCAGCAGTGGAAACTGAATTGATATTGTAGAAACTTTCCACTGTCTTGCTCTTAGTTTCAAGAAATTTTTAGTTTATAGAATAAGCAAAACAAAATAGCTTTAATGCTGAAAGTTATTTACCGACTAAATTAGTTGTAAAATTTGATAAGAAAGGTTTTGAACAATAGGTGACAACAAACATTTTTTTTTATAAATGCAAGATAATGCTTATAGTATATCCATATAGCTTCTTTTGTGTGGTATCAATGTTCATTTATTTAA